ACGTCTGTCCAGGAACCCTCCTCATCCTATGCTATATATATATATATATACCCGCAACCAGCGGTTGCATCGTTTCATACGTTTCATGTTCCACCACCGATTGTGTGTTGGAGACTGTGATTCTTTGCATCCCGATGATATATAGTACACAATGTACCACTGCCGCCGGGAAAAAACACAACTGCACGCAGCAACTTAAACCTGTTCCAGGCACCATCTTCTGCAAAGTTGGCAGCCCCACCGGAAACATCCATTGGAAACGTCCCAGATATATGAGGAGACCCGCAGCCTTGTCTTCTAATGTGGTCACGACGTAACTGCATAATAGCACAAATTTCGGCGGGCATTGCAGGGACCTCATTCACCCAAGGCCCATCTTGCAGCTCAGGGTGAAGACATACAACGAACATCGAAGAAACTATGTACCCGTAATACTTTTCAATGATGAACCGGTAAATGTTGAGTTGCAAGTGGTATTTCACACCTTGCGCATCTGGTAAGTGCTCCAACGGCTCAGCCAGTGCGCGCCAAGGGTTTTGGAACTTGTTCTGCAAATTCTTGGTGCGCTTCCAGTCAACTAGCCTGAGGCATCAACGCAGAGAATGGGGTTCCCTCTTAAACCATTTGTTCACTGCGGCACACTTTGCGTGACTATCTCATTGAAACCAAGGCACACAAGGTGTCCCTTCTCGTCAATCGCTGCGAAGTCGATGCAACCTGCCAACCTCTCATCGCTAGCCCAGATGCACCACTCTGTACGGAAGGCAAGCAGAGGCCGAGTGCGGCCGACAAAGGTACGTAGCAGGTCCATCTCAGCACAAGTTCCTTTGATGGCCCCACCGTTCAAGACACACTCGCACTGGAGATGGGTCCACGTCCCTGCATGCGATGCCATCTCCGCTTTTAGGGCCCAATGTTCCTTGATTTCAGCTGGAGACATAATGTGGCTCGCAAGCAGGGCGTGTGATTCAGCAGAGCAACTATCCAATGTGCTGCGCAGACAATGGCTTGCGTGCGCTAAGTTTAGGGAAGGCTGCGCGAGAACGGCGCCCAATGCTGTCAAGTCAGGAACTTGTAAACAAGCATGAGCGAGTTTTCCATTTTTGATGCCATTCATGTACTCTACACGAGGCCAACGAGCGCCAGACATCATCATCTCGATAGCTTTGTCTGCGTCAAACTCCTGGCAAATTGTTCCCAGAACTTATTTTCATCTCATTGCGGTGTTGCATTCCAAAATGTGTACAACATCAATCATCTTAAACCAACAGACCCTAAGACAGTATCCGACACAGTCCTCTGAAAAGGTACAGACAAAGCTAGTAACAGAAAGATCAAAGGGCTCGTTGTCCACAAAATACTTGTGACCTTCCGACACGAAGCGGATGTGTGTGTCTCGCGGATGCGGATGACACACTTGTAGCCAATCAAAATGGAAGTCAGTTCCCAGAAAAAGTTCGGGGCAATTTGCCGGCAGCGACACCAAGGGTCGAGACAGTGGCGGCAAGGGAATTCGCACGCCACGCCGTTGGGCGTTAAGGATGCCAAATGTTTGTCGAACCATGGGAGGCATTGATGCGTCCCAGCGTCGAAACCAGCCCTGCTTCTCCTTGGCCTTCGCATGTGACTCCAAGAAGTAGGAAGCTTCTTGTGCCGTGAACCCGGCCTCCATCAGTTGTTGCAGCGTCTTGGGCGTCCTCTCTTCCAACATTTGGCGCCTCCTTAAGGCATCGGCGCGGTTGTGGCATATACGTAGCCATACTTGAGGACCTTTGTTCAAAAGAGGTTCCTCACACGCATCAGATCCGCCACAAACATCTGGTTGCTTCTGAATGATACTAAGGCGTCGCAGCAGGCCAGGACAAGTCTGATCCGCGCCGCAGCCCATGAACAAGCCAACCATGTCTGAATCGTCCTCCTGCGCTGCCAGATGCACTGCAGCATCACCGAAAGAATTTGGCATGTTCGGGTCAGCACCATAGACCAACAAAAGTTCAGCTGCACTGACATCGCGCCTCGTGGTCGCAGTGTGCAAAGGGCTCAGACCGTCAGGGCCAATGAGATTCGGGCTCGCTTTGCTTTGTAAAAGCGTCTTCATAGCTCCAAGTGCCCCCGCTTGGCAGGCGTAGACCAGGAGAGTTGTTCCTGCTGAACATGTTCCATTCGGATCTTGGCCCTGCCGCAACAGCCACTCAACATCAGCGATGGCATTGTGCAGGATGGCATGTGCAAGCTTGTCCCAGAGATTGTTGTGCGTAGTGGTGATGAGAACTTGCACGTTGGAAGGGTACCCAAGATCCTCCCACATCAGGTCCTCTGCAATCTGAAGCCCGTCTTTGAAGAAGGACATAGCTAGAGGCGGATGGCGAAGACGCCGGTGCAGCACCGAGCGAGCTTTCGACACGAAAGTGCCGAAGTCAAAAGTTTCGGCGTCGCATGAAAGCAGTATATTATGAGACAATGCAGATTGGAACGAAATCATGCCACCGCACACATCACTGACTTGCTGCGACACATGGTCACCGCCCAAATCCACCTGGCTTGCACCATCTGACGTGCGAGCTTCTACATGGAAGATTGCCTCGAACTGTTGGCGTACACCGGCCACCTTTCCACAAGAGCTCGGCCCACCAGTTGCCAGCAACTGAAAGATTTTTTCGTAGGGTTCAAAACTGAAATCTGAAAGAGCACAATCCTGTCCGCAATGGCTTTTGTGGTTTTCTTGGAGGCGGCACGTTCCATCTGGGAACACTCTAAACCCAACGAAATGTTCCTTGCGGTATAAGACATATCTGCCAGGAAAGAGATCTTGACCGACGTTTGCCGCAAGGATCGTGTACCTGACATGGAAGAGGACCGAGAAAGATTCAAGCAACAAGAGACACCGAACCAAACAGACTCTTGCAGCCAAGGAGCCCATGTGGCTGCAGCATCCGCTTGCCATCCGCAAGGGCCCAGAAAGGGCCGTCACTGTCATACTGAACCGGCAAGCCAACGGAACGAAACGAGTCGACGAGGCATACATTCGCAAACCGTGTTGGCTCAGATGCTGGCCGCCTTGGAATTTCAACTTAACAAAGAATTTCCACAATATCTTTTCAAGGAACCTCTTCGAACATTTCTCTTGGAAGGATTGCTTTCGAATCCGTTGGCGAATTTCCTAGACATCACTTGGCCCCATGGACTGGCACCCGCTTCAATGCAAGCCGAGCGGCAAAATAGCCCTCGGACGGACTTTGCTAGAAGGTTTCCCGCCAACATTGGACTTCAACAAGTCCGGCCGGGAAGCCATCAAGTTTAAATGCTCTTCAATTGCTTCTTCGAAGTCGTGCCACTCCCAGAGCCGTACTTGTCGCCACCAGCGAGCAAGCTTCTTGTGATAATGCAGGAAAACATTCTGCCAATATCGGTTCTCCCGTAGTCTTTGCCTTTGTCGTCGGCTCAACAGTTGGAGGTTTACCCATGGGTGTGGTTTCTCATACCACGCCATGGGTTCGGAAGCATCCACGACCATGGCGCCATCATGGTCACCTTAAGCACGCCGAGGAAACATGTCAGGCGTCACCGCATACCAACTTACGGAATCCAACTCTGCCACATCAAAGCAGCTATTGTTTGGTCCGTAACGCAGCCAAGCATCCATCTGCACCATTGCCTCAGCCACACGTGCAAGCATGCCAAAGGATGCACAGACTGACTCTCGGTCAAAGGCGTGCGTCATGTGGCAGATTAGCACCACTGATTTTTGTCGATCGAAACATAAAGCATGTATAACGCGGTGGCCCCTAGCATCAGAACGTAGCAAAAAGATCAACCCTTCAGAGCAAGGAGCCGGATGCTGGCAGAGGAGTCACATCAGTACCTTAGCAGTGACACACATAATGCTTCATAACGACACAAGCTTTCCGAACGTCACAATAGCATAACCAGAAACAAACATATGTACTGCATCTGCACAACAGCTGAGATGTTCGCTTTGAATGGTATCGAGGTCGTCGTCGTACACGTCAGCCCAGCGAACATTGCGAGGGAAAAAAGACATCATGCTTGGTGTCACAAGATCGGCGGGCGAAAGAAAGACGAAAGAGATCGACAGAGACTTTCTGTGGGGATTGACGTGCTGCCAGCCACAATTTGCGGTTGTGTGGTTTCAATTGCATGCGTCATGTTGTTCCAAGCAAATCTCTTACATCACAAATTTGGATTGCATTCCATGCAGCTTATATGACGTCAAACTTTTTGACATTCGGCACACATTCCACCAGTTCCCATTCAACCGAAAGTCTCCTGACAAGCGAGCTGCTTCTACCTCATGTCCATAAAAGCGGAGCGCCTCAGCACAGACTGCAGTGTTCACAACGTGTGCCCGAATAAGACCAACGCGTGAGATGTAAACTTTCACCTCTCCTCGTCACCTTGCGCCTTTGTACGGACTTATCTATAAGGCATGTGTCACGCGGTCGCCCCCAGCACCACCCCATACATACGAACCACTCGCGGTGGCCCCTAGCACCACCCCATAAATACGGACGACTCGACTCTAGGGCATGTGTCACGCGGTGGCCCCTAGCACCACCCCATACCTACGAACGATTCGACTTTAGGGCATGTGTCACGCGGTGGCCCCTAGCACCACCCCATAAATGCAAACGATTCGACTCTAGGGCATGTGTGACGCGGTGGCCCCTAGCACCACCCCATAAATACGGACGATTCGACTCTAGGGCATGTGTCACGCGGTGGCCCCTAGCACCACCTCGTGTAGAAGAACGACTCGACTCTAGGGCATGTGTCACGCGGTGGCCCCTAGCACCACCCCGTGTAGAAGAACGACTCGGCTCTAGGGCATGTGTCACGCGGTGGCCCCTAGCACCACCCCGTGTAGAAGAACGACTCGGCTCTATGGCATGTGTCACGCGGTGGCTCCTACCACCACCACATGCTGACCTATACAGCATAGTCTCTTCCAGGCGCACTCTGAAGCCAGACACGTCACAGGCCTACGCAATGCCCTGCGCACTATAGGAAACAAGGAAAAAGAAGACAGACACATCCAGGACAACGCGGCCGTCCTGTGCTACAGGAGCAGCACGCTCCGCTACCACCAGGCAACCTCGAGCACCTCCTATGACGCAAGAAGTCGCCCGGCCCACCCTTCCCAGAGTCATCACGCGGCTGACACACAGCATCAGCTGTACAAGGCGGTATCCGAAGCTAAAGCCGTCACAGGCCTACGCAATGCCGTGCACACTATATAGGAAACAAGGAAAAAGAAGACATACACGTCCAGGACAACGCGGACGTCCTATATGCTACAGGAGCAGCACGCTCCGCTACCACCAGGCAACCTCGAGCACCTCCTATGACGCAAGAAGTCACCCGGCCCAGAGTCATCACGCGGCCGACATACAGCATCAGCTTTACAAGGCGATATCCGAAGCTAAAGCCTTCACAGGCCTACGCAATGCCCTGCGCACTATAGGAACAAGGCAAACCAAGACAGACACATCCAGGACAACGCGGCCGTCCTGTGCTACAGGAGCAGCACGCTCCGCTACCACCAGGCAACCTGGAGCACCTGCTGTGACGCAAGAAGTCGCCCGGCCCACCCCTCCCAGAGTCATCACGCGGCTGACATACAGCATCAGCTTTACAAGGCGATATCCAAAGCTAAAGCCGTCACAGGCCTACATTGACAATGCACTGCGCACCTTGCCAAAGCCTTGTGTAGATCTTGGCTTGTTATATAAGATGTACCGCGCTACTCGCAGGCATCGCAACCGCCAACACCAAAACAAAACATAGCACACTTCCACACCAGCTACTTTGCACACAACCCATCTTATTGAATCCAAATTGATTTGATCAGTGGTCTTGCTGTGTAAGATGACAAGCTTCTTAGGTGCTGGTTACTCAATAAACCACACTTACATGTAAAACAAGAAGCACATATTACATGCACATGTTTCTCTGCAATGTTTTACGTAAAAGGCAATCCGTTTTGGATCTTTCCGTGCATGCATCAGCGCAGTGAACAGCAAGGCCGACCCAACTAGCGCTTCGCTTCAGGATCCCTGAAACCGGGGAAGCAACAGTTTGGACAACAGACTGGGTGGCGTAACAACAACGCTTTTCCGACTTGAAACGTCCTGACCTAAACCTCTGCTTTCTCCTCTTGCACCATTGTTGTCAAGCTTTGGAAACGAATGGGACAAAGCACACAGACACATATACATAATAGATTCATACTTGTCTGTGGGGGTTGACTTCGTATTTGTACTACTTCTTTCAACCCCTAGCCTACAATCATCATGCCTTCCTCAGGTACGCGCATGCTTATTCAATGGGGTAAGCCATTTACTGTATATAGTTTGCTGCCAGACCATGTAACAGCTCCATATTATTTTCTTTCCTCCTCCAATCTTCGGCCGAGCGGCGTCTTTGGCAAAGGAACCATATGTCCCGAGTGCTCGTTCCAGAGATAGAAGGTAGAAGCATCGCGACCTTAGCCGAGAAAACCGAGGAAGGTTGTCATAGTGTGTATCAGTCAATTCACTATCTGATTATCTAAGTAGCGCTTGGACATTGTCCTGCTATATTCTGAGTTACTGAGGTATGGACTTCTATCCATAGAAGGAAACGAGTTATTGATATACAAGGAAATAAGTTCTTCAGACAAGGAAATTAGTTCTTCATATATGGAAGTTCTGGAGTAAGTCATGCAAGAGCATGAGTTATTCATAGTATATACGTACAAGGACATTAGTTATTCAGACAAGGACATGGGTTCTTCATATACAAGGACACGAGTTATTCATAAAAGGAAAACAGTTACTCCCCCCTAAGAGTAGATGGCTCAGAATCTTGAGTTGCGCCATCTATGTCAAAAAATGGGGGATAGATGGCTCAACTCCCTTTAAAACAGGCCAGTTGAGCCATCTATGTCCCAAAAAAATACATATTTTTTGCAATCTTCTGCGCTGGTTTCTCCCTTCTCTCAACATCGAATCAAGCTGCTTTTTTGGGACATAGATGGCTCAACTCCCACTCATTCGCCAAAATCAGGCTGTGAATGCCCACATAGATGGCGCAACTCCCTCATATCTGGCCCGGACATGACCCAAAAACAGGGGGGCTCAAAAGAGTCCGTTTTTTTGGCCAAACATGGGCTCAACATAGGCTCAACATAGAAGGCTATGTTGGGCCACTTGGGGCTCTTTTGGCGGCTTTCGGGCCTAAAATTTCAACCCCAACGGAAGCATGGTTCCGTTGAGGTTGAATTTTGGGTCGGTTTTGGGCTTATGTTGGGCCATTTGGAGGCTATATTGGGCCTCTGTTGGGCTATTTTAGGGCTATGTTGGGCTGTTGGCGGCTTTCGGGCCTAAAATTTCAACCCCAACCGAAGCATGGTTCGGTTGAGGTTGAATTTTAGGTCGGTTTTGGGCTTATGTTGGGCCATTTGGAGGCTATGTTGGGCCTCTGTTGGGCCATTTTAGGGCTATGTTGGGCTCTGTTGGCGGCTTTCGGGCCTAAAATTTCAACCCCAACGGAAGCATGGCTCCGTTGAGGTTGACTTTTTGGTCGGTTTCGGGCGCAGCATAGGCTCAAAACGAGTTGCGCCATCTTTTCATTTTAAAGTAGGGCCTAAGTAGGGTGATTTTTTTTTCAATTGGCGGAACCCGTTCTATGTTCCAGCTAGAATAGCGCCGTTTTCTTTCTCACCGCGCGGTGCCATCTTATGGGTATTTTGGTTTTGGAGTTGCGCCATCTACTTTTAGGGGGGTATATTCATAAAGGAGGTAAGTTATTCATACATGGGAAATAATTAAAGCACTTATGAAAATCATACGGTTGTATGAGCAACTCGCTTGGTCACAAGAGCCGGGGGAAAAAAAAAACAGAGCCAGAAATTTGTTGGTTCGGGCTGAAAATGTCTGGACTGAGATTTTAGGAACCACATGAATTACCAATGTTTGGGAATGTTAAGTTTTTAGATATTTGTTCAAACGACAAATGAAAAAGGGGTTTTTCATAATTGTTCATGACCTAAATGAATCCCAATCTTGCGGCCTTTTGGCCTGATGCCTTGTCCACTGCTGTCCCAAGATTATTCCACCAATACATTCGTGGACGGGGTGGACATTGCGGACAGGGGTGTTGGAATGGATCCTTTGACTTGTACCAAACATGTCCTCACCCAAGAACTGCAGGAACTTCAGGAGTTGGTTCCAGGTAAAATAGATGTTTGTTTTCAACCTGGTCTGTTTTCAAGTGGTGCACAGGGGTTGGACCGACGAATATCATGTTTTCATGAATCCCAAAGGATACTAACACTATTGTCATGTTTTTGCATTCATATTAGCAAATTAACAAAAACATCAAAGTCGAAATTCCAAATCATCCAAAATGGCAGGGTCTGAAGTATTCCTTCTGGTCTGAAGGTCGAGAAGAATACCAAGGTGCAAGTTTCAGGTATGTAGATCCCTGTGGCCAACGTGATGTCAAGGCACGCGATTGGAAAATTCGCCAACCAGGTGGCAAACGAGACATTTCAATCGGTGGTCGTTCTTCCGCCACCTGCAGCACCACACATGTCGACAAAAAGTCGAGGAAGTGTTCTTCCAAATTAGAGACATGAGAGATGATTGGATGCGCATTCGCATCGTTTAGCTGCACTGATGTAGACAATTGCATACTATGTCTTCAGGCACAACTGGCAACTGATAGAAAAACTACAGTCTATACCTGATTCAGCCTCAAGATGTGCATCCCGTGCTAATTGGCAGACATGCGCCTGTGGCCGTGGTGATCTCTCACGTTCCTGTGATGCCAGAACCGGGCTAGGTCATAAACTCGCATGTCATGTTGAAAGCACATCGCGTGCAGAAAACGAAACTGCATGCTTGCTACTCGAATGAAAATGCTCATCCGTGAGCTCGACCTATTCATGCGATTTCTTGCATGCTCCTATTGCATCCCACCACTCAGTATCCAGATACCATATTTCTAGATGGAACAGTCCACTGATAGGGGACTTACGGAAAGAGGTTAATGACCACATAGTAAAACAAGCTCATCCAACACTTCAAGACACACGTCCGAGATGCTTCCTTCTTCTCATCATTCTTCTCATCCTTCCACGAACTTCTCCAATTGCTCCACGCCTGCAGATGGCCGCGGGACATGCATCCCACAGTGATGGCATCTCAACCGTGGATCCATCTCAAGACAGTACCCTCCATCAAACATACCTCCGGTTGTGGTCTATCAACGCACCCACACTTACCAAACTTTGAACGAAATTGTTCGGATTCAATGCTCCCAATCTCGCCTGCCACCTTTGGGACCGGCGCTCCCACCGCGTGGACATACCACAAAAATGCGCGAAACTAATTCCTAATTCCCAAAACTTGCAAGCAGCCGAAAAAAATGGCTGCCGGCAGTTGCATTGTCACCCCCAAGGCTTCATGAATCACGCCAAACAATATCAATACAGGACAGTGGAACAAAACTTTTGATAATCGAAGAAGGTCCCAAGCAATCAATCTGAATATATATATATATAGATACATTGTATGTGCGTATATATATATATATACACATATGAACCGACTCTTGTCAGAAGCCATTATGTCGTGCCAAGCAACTGGCGCTTTCTCATCGGACGCAAGTGCTGTGAAGATTGAAGGTGTAAAAGAAACGTCGATATTGGTTCAAGGAGGTGGCGACCCAGGTGAATGGCAAGTGTTGCATTCGGGGTGTGGCTCTCTATTCTCTTTAGACGCGAGGGATCAACATTCAATAGGGAGATGACAGCATCCATTCATACACCTGTAAACCTTGGGTTGAACGTTGCGAGAACCAAGTTGAAGAAGGTTGTTCCTGTGCTGTTGGCATTTGCAATGGGGGCGTGTCAGTGTGTTTTTTTGTAGTACTGTGCTTGTCGCATCAAACATACGTAATGTTTCTGAATGTGTTTCTTCGCACATTTCCATTCCTAGCCCATGATCCATGCTTATTAGAATGTGAACCAAAAAACCAAACATCAAGCGCAACATTTGCTTTCCTGTACGTATACACACACACATATATATATATAGATATAAATACAATATATATATATATATACGTAACATATCCTCATCAAAACCTAGTTCCGTGTGAAACCACAACATCGTCTCAAGTCTGTCACCACGTACACACCATCACCCTGTCATACCGGTTCAGTCGCACATCAAAACAACCATCCCCGTGTCACACCGGGCTACACGCTGACTTGAATAGAACTACCACCCTGTGACACCGACGCGCTGATGTGAATAGAGCCATCACCCTGTGACACCGGGCGACGCGCTGACGCGCTGTGACTTGACGCGAGAACACACCACCCTGTCACACCGGGCGACGCGCTGACTTGACCCTGTGACACGGGCGACGCGCTGATCAGAACACCACCCTGTGACACCGGGCGACGCGCTGACTTGCATAGAAACACCACCCTGTCACACCGGGCGACGCGCTGACTTGAATAGAACCGTGTGACACCGGGCGACGCGCTGACTTCAGAACCACCACCCTGTGACACCGGGCGACGCGCTGACTTGCAAAGAAGCACCACCCTGTCACACCGGGCGACGCGCTGACTTGAATACAACCCTGTGACACCGGGCGACGCGCTCACTTGCAAAGAAGCACCACCCTGTCACACCGGGCGACGCGCTGACTTGAATACAACCCTGTGACACCGGGCGACGCGCTGACTTCAGAACCACCACCCTGTGACACCGGGCGACACGCGCTGACTTACATAGAACCACCACCCTGTCACACCGGGCGACGCGCTGACTTGAATAGTACTGCCCTGTGACACTGGGCTACGCCCTGACTTCAGTAGAAACAACAACCTGTGACACCGGCACACAGGCACGCGACCAACACCCTGTCACACTGGGCGACGCGCAAACATAAAATAATACAGAAGGTACGAAAACAATCCCAGCTTGGGACTCTGCCCGTTGCAATACCTAAGCATCCGACTTTGTGGCTTGCAAAGTGCTATAAATATCTCAACCACCCCGCATATACAGATTCTTGGCAAGAGAGGACCCAACCCAAATTCAGCCAAAAAAGTGAGGTCATTTAGAATTGAGAACTAAAGCATTATTTCCTGAATGCCTGAGAGCGAGGCTCCAGACCGTTGATTTCGCTAATTATCCTAATTATCTGAATTATTTATATTAATTATCCTAATTATCCTAATTAATTAGGATAATTAAGATAATTAGCCTCCCGGAGAGCCTTTGGAAGCCTAATTATCCTAATTATCCTAATTAATTAGGATAATTAAGATAATTAGCCTCCCGGAGAGCCTTTGGAAGCCTAATTATCCTAATTATCCTAATTAATTAGGATAATTAAGATAATTAGCCCCCGGAGAGCCTTTGGAAGCCTAATTATCCTAATTATCCTAATTAATTAGGATAATTAGGATAATTAGCCTTCCAGAGAGCCTTTGGCAGCCTAATTATCCTAATTATCCTAATTATTGCTAAAGCCTCCAGGGTCCAGACCTTTGATTTTGTTAATTATCCTAATTATCCTAATTATCCTAATTAATTAGGATAATTAAGATAATTAGCCTCCCGGAGAGCCTTTGGAAGCCTAATTATCCTAATTATCCTAATTAATAGGATAATTAGGATAATTAGCCTCCCGGAGAGCCTTTGGAAGCCTAATTATCCTAATTATCCTAATTAATTAGGATAATTAGGATAATTAGCCTCCCAGAGAGCCTTTGGAAGGCTAATTATCCTAATTATCCTAATTAATTAGGATAATTAAGATAATTAGCCTCCCCCTTTAAGCCTAATTAGCCTAATTAATTAGGATAATTAAGATAATTAGGAGAGCCTTTGGCAGTTATCCTAATTATCCTAATTAATTAGGATAATTAGGATAATTAGCCTCCCAGAGAGCCTTTGGAAGGCTAATTATCCTAATTATCCTAATTATTGCTAAAGCCTCCAGGGTCCAGACCTTTGATTTTGTTAATTATCCTAATTATCCTAATTAATTAGGACAATTAGGATAATTAGGATAATTAGCAAAATCAAAGGTCTGGACCCTGGAGGCTTTAGCAATAATTAGGATAATTAGGATAATTAGGGTGCCAAAGGCTCTCTGGGAGGCTAATTATCCTAATTATCCTAATTAATTAGGATAATTAGGATAATTAGGCTTCCAAATGCTCTTTGGGAGGTTAATTATCCTAATTATCCTAATTAATTAGGATAATTAGGATAATTAGGCTTCCAAAGGCTCTCCGGGAGGCTAATTATCTTAATTATCCTAATTAATTAGGATAATTAGGATAATTAGGCTTCCAAAGGCTCTCCGGGAGGCTAATTATCTTAATTATCCTAATTAATTAGGATAAATAGGATAATTAGGATAATTAACAAAATCAAAGGTCTGGACCCTGGAGGCTTTAGCAATAATTAGGATAATTAGGATAATTAGGCTGCCAAAGGCTCTCCGGGAGGCTAATTATCTTAATTATCCTAATTAATTAGGATAATTAGGATAATTAGGATAATTAGGATAATTACCAAAATCAAAGGTCTGGACCCTGGAGGCTTTAGCAATAATTAGGATAATTAGGATAATTAGCCTTCCAAAGGCTCTCTGGGAGGCTAATTATCTTAATTATCCTAATTAATTAGGATAATTAGGATAATTAGGCTGCCAAAGGCTCTCCGGGAGGCTAATTATCCTAATTATCCTAATTAATTAGGATAATTAGGATAATTAGGTTTCCAAAGGCTCTCCGGGAGGCTAATTATCCTAATTATCCTAATTAATTAGGATAATTAGGATAATTAGGCTTCCAAAGGCTCTCCGGGAGGCTAATTATCTTAATTATCCTAATTAATTAGGATAATTAGGATAATTAGGATAATTAGGATAATTAACAAAATCAAAGGTCTGGACCCTGGAGGCTTTAGCAATAATTAGGATAATTAGGATAATTAGGCTGCCAAAAGCTCTCTGGGAGGCTAATTATCCTAATTATCCTAATTAATTAGGATAATTAGTATAATTAGGCTGCCAAAGGCTCCCCGGGAGGCTAATTATCCTAATTATCCTAATTAATTAGGATAATTAGGATAATTAGGCTTCCAAAGGCTCTCCGGGAGGCTAATTATCTTAATTATCCTAATTAATTAGGATAATTAGGATAATTAGCAAAATCAAAGGTCTGGACCCTGGAGGCTTTAGCAATAATTAGGATAATTAGGATAATTAGCCTTCCAAAGGCTCTCTGGGAGGCTAATTATCCTAATTATCCTAATTAATTAGGATAATTAGGATAATTAGGATAATTAGGCTTCCAAAGGCTCTCCGGGAGGCTAATTATCCTAATTATCCTAATTAATTAGGATAATGAGGATAATTAGCCTTCCAAAGGCTCTCCAGGAGGCTAATTATCCTAATCATCCTAATTAATTAGGATAATTAGGATAATTAGCCTTCCAAAGGCTCTCCAGGAGGCTAATTATCCTAATCATCCTAATTAATTAGGATAATTAGGATAAGTAGCCTTTCAAAGGCTCTAATTACCTTGAATCTGGGGTTCGCCCAAATGAACCCTGTTTTTCCATCATACGGGGTACCCCCATTTATGGAAACCTTCACACATATCCATCTATCTGTCTGTCTATCTATCTATCTACCTATCTATGTATCTATCTCTCTATCTATCTATCTATCTATTTATATATATATATTTGTACACATATTGCAATATATAAATATATACACATATATAAGTCACTAATGTGAATAATTTGCACATATATATATATATACATATATATATATAGGGAAGCGTTTGATGTATTGCTATTATACATAATATGTATATATATATATAGTCTCACCGAAACCCTGCAGAACCACATATTGAGGATTAGGGTATACACATACACTATAATGTGGGTAACACAATAATAAACCATATCGTCTATGACATTATTTTACCCAAATTAATTATATAGTGATCCACATATAAAAGATACCATTATTATACACTATAATTAAACACATACACTATAGTTGCACACTATAGTTTTACTAATATAGGTATATCACAAGTATCACAATATATATATATATATACCTATTATAATTATCACATTGTTATAGTGAAAATTAAAATACACATATATATATATATACATACACACCTACAACTACAATGTGGTGCCCCCAAACGATAGCTAAGATATCCCCCCAAATATCCAAAATTAGAACATGTTAGTACTGAAAGCTATGGTCTTGCAGCTCCCCAATTTTAAAGAAACCTCCATATATCCACTCAGATATATAAAATTATATACATATACGATTAGTGGTATATATATATATATATATTATACTATAATATATATATGTGATAATATGTGATATATATATATATGTTATATATGTATATATATATATACATACATGTATATATATATATTATGTAAACCACTTATATCCACTTATTATCTTTGCAGAGGTAAGAAACTGCAGCTCAGGTTGCACCTTTATGCGGATGGACTGTTGCCCAACTTGTGCGCGATGGACTCCGATGGACCTGCGTTTCTCTTGCGACAAATACGGCGTCCAGGATGAGCGACAAACGTATACCCTCTGGTAAACTAACATAGCTATGGAAAATCACAATTTTTAATGGGAAAATCCACTATAAATGGCCATTTTCAATAGCTATTTTGACATAACCAGAGGGTACCCATCTATACCCCAAACGTTACCGCGTTTTCGTGAAGAAAAATATGGAAACATATGGCAAGAATTCTCCGAAATCGCCTCGGCTTTGTATCCCAGATGTCCTTGGCCAAACTTGGGGTCTGATTGGTCAATGGGGGCTGGGTTGGTGTAAAAATGTCGGTTTACAGTATATGGTAAATCTTTTGATACCTGGCAAAAAACGTATTTTTAAATGGTTAGGACTAAATAGGACTAATTTGAGTACAATTGATAGCAAAAGATTGAAATACTAAAGTATCTGACCGGTTGACCCAGTCTATAATTACAATAAATAGGATTTGCGGTGGATATACTGTATCTACACTTGGATGAGTGTATAAGCCAACAAACACAACTGGGCCTTTCTCTTCTGTCGAGGGTTTGAACATTATGTGTGGAAATATATGAAATATGTATAAATATGTTTGTTTCAGGACTGGAGAAATCTCCTTTTACATGTTGAGAGAAAAGAAAACTTCCCAACTGGGCTTCTGGAGTACCGATCCCATGTCTCATCATCGATTTTTCCCCATTGAAATTTGTTACCCTCTGGTAAACATACCAAAAACATCCAAAAACTATATGGAACATCACCGTTTTATAGCTGGGTAAATCAACTATTTCGATTGGGCCATGTTCAATAGCTATTTTGACATAACCAGAGGGTAAATTTGATGTATCTCCCACAGCACCAAAAGATTGGCCCAATCCAGGGGGCTATCTCTGCCTTGCTGGTCTCCAGTTGATACCAGCCATGTTAACGGGATCCAGCGATCGTGGCGTGCAGTGGGTTTGTGTTCAAATGACTTTGTCTGAAAATTGGATACCACCAACAAAAAATATAATCAGTTTATCATCATTTGCCACATTTAATGGCCATAATCTGGGGGATATATACATATATATATAATTACATACATACATACATACATACATACATACATACATACGTATATATATATATATATAATGTTCAGACAAAGCCAAGCAAATGCTGTGACAATTGAGTGAATTTCCATCATCCTGCAAGCCATTCTGGCGACGTAGCCAAACGGCAAACGGCAAGGCACAATTGTCACAAGCCTTGCGTGTTTGCGATCTGGAACATAGTGAACATTGTCACTTGAGTCAATGGAACATAGTGAGAAACATGGCAGTGTGTCAAAACCTTGTACCCCTGTAGTTCACATCAAAATAGCTGGGATTTATGGATGTTCATCCCATTAAAAATGGTATTTTCATAGGTATTGATCCATAGCCACATGTCCATTGAGGTGAAAAGACCAAGATCTGTCCAATTATTGCTTGAAACACTCGCAATTGGTCTTGCTTGATTTTTCACCGGAATATGGGTGATTTTGTAGTGGTGGGAACTGGAAATATAATGAAATAACATATATATATATATATGTTATGTAGACAAATATATATATATATATGTATATAGCAACCCAAACAATGATCAAGAATCAAAAACATAGTTCACTATGTCAGAAATATTTTACTTTTTGAGGGTTACTATTCATATATATATATACAGAAATGCCAACTTGACGACACTTTTCCTCTGTGCAAGCTAGCAGCTAGCAACATGTTGATGCCATTTGGCAAGCAGATTGTCGCCGAATTCTACAAGACTGAAAGCAGGCTACGGCGGCTATGTCTCTACTTTGCTTGAGATGTTTATGAAACTGTCATCTGCGAGAGAAATCACCAATGGTCTATCGCAACATGTCCACAAACAGGCGTGACATCAACAAATCATTGCCAATCTTAGATACCCTGCAAAAAAAAAAAATCTTTGCTGGTGAACGTAGATATTCCCATTAATACCAAAAGACTAAAGGATTGAAGTATCCATCTAAGATTGACCTAGAAATCATCACCAAATCATCTAGTCCTGCCAGCCTTCAGAGAGTTGCCATCGGCAAATACCAGCCTCAGCGGCCATGAAGTCATGGTGGCTTACAATGGGAAACTCAGTCGTAACATTGGTTAAACCACCTTCCCAACCTCAGCTCTTCAATGTGAGGCCACCAAGATAGCTAAGTTGGTTTATAACTCCAATAACCATGGTTTATGGTGCTTATAACTATAGTTACTGGGGCTTATAAGCCAACTTATAACTGGGGGGCCTCACATTGTTGATATTCTGGGCTGCATGTTATCCTATGATTCGCTTCAAGGAACCATACAAACGATCCAATGAAACTAACCAAAAGATTCCCTGTCTGGTGGATTAACCAAAAAGGAACAAAACAATTCGACGAATCCATGTCATTTCTGAGTTCGATTCCTCACACATGACCCAGGACCAGGATCCGCCCTTTAGGTCTGCACCTTGATTTCGCTGGCTACTTTCCTGGGCGCTCCATGAATCTACGGGAATAGGCTGTGCGCAAAATATCGGACAAACATGGGGGTTCCGAAAATGGTGGATCCCAAAAGCAAGGGTTTCAAATGTTTTCAATAGAAAGTCATGGTTTAATTTTGAAAGATTTGGAGTACCCCCATTGATTGGAAACCTCCACTACTTGGGGTAGCTTCCACTACTTGGGGTTTCTCCTCTGGCCCGCAAACATTGCTGGCTGGAAAATGTCAATTGCTTTCACTTGCAAAATCACCCATGCATAGGTTTAAATGATGGATTTGACATTGCCAGGGTAGACTGATTACCAGAGTGTACATCAAAGCATGAAGATACAATGAGGAAAGAGTCTAATTCAACTTGACACCACTTTTATAACAAGTGAACAAATACATGTTTTGTTGCACAAATTAACAACACAACATCGAACCTTGAATTCACAAGACAAAAACTTTGGCTGATCATAGCCCAAATGGTTGTCGTAATCCCTACAATCCAAATGCTGTAGCAAAAAAGGCCCCTCTACTGTACCCTCTGGTCATTTGACGCTTTGCTAAGGAAAAAAATAATCAGTTTTAAGTTCGGTAAACCATCGAACTAAATCATGGTGAATACCTGGCAAAAAGAAAAACAAACAAACTATTTTGTAGCTGGTTTGTACATGCTTCCATTGATAGCAAAACTGGTTGGTGGTTTCAACCCCTCTGGAAAAATATTAGTCAGTTGGGATGATTATTCCCAATATATGGAAAATAACACATTAGAAAATCAGAAAATATTAGAGTACTCAAGATTACTACAGTATCAGTCGACCCAGAAATGGGCCTGTACCTCCAAGGAATCACAATTCAGGGAGATCTAATGCTCAATCAGAGTTGAGACAAGGGGGGTATGGATTATGATGGATTCTGTAAATGTTGGGATTGGATTACTTTGACATACTGTGACTACAAGGTGCTGCCCGAATGCGACCGCTAAGTTGGTTGGAAAACTCTAATATGGTACAGATATCGAACTAGTTAATGTGGGTAAAACAATAATAAACCACCCATTTGGGAATGGTTTATATCACCTATTGTATGGTGATTTTGGGGATGGTTTAATATTGTTTTACCCACATTGATGGGATTATAAACCAACAGACTTAACTGGGGGGGGGGTATCCACGCTCACTTGGTCCGAGTGGCTTCCTTTCTTCTTGCCACCCTTTGGGGGCAAGGCACCCGCACTCTTCAGCAGTTCAGCCTGCGATATATTGGAATGGGAAACTTTACGGGGGCATGAACAATGGCGGAAAAGTGGGATTTAAACGTATTTAACCCATGAAAAATGTTGATTTATAGCTGATGCCCCATGGCTAAGTTGGTTTTTAACCAATCCTGGAGTTGGGTCCTGTCATTGCCTGTAACCTGTAGCCATCCCCGCAATAGATACGTGTTTCCAGAAGGTCATAGATGACGTGTTCCCCATAATTTCCAGGTGTCCCACTTTTCTTCTATTTTTGGGCTGATATACTTCAAACTGAGGATATATTATGTATATAAATAAATATATAAATATGCTGGCCACTCTCGAACAGATTTTCTCCTCATGAATCGGAATGCGTTGGGATAGGAACTGGCTACACCCTTATTGGTTCACTCGCTCTAGTCTCTCCCTGCTAAGCCCCATGCGCCAGCTCAGGATGAGTAATGAGCTAGAACCAGCTCACTGAGAGAAGAGACCTCCGCCACTTCTTCCCCCGGGTGGGGGGTGGGAAACAAATCAAGGAGAGGGGGGTGGCTGTTCGAGTGAGCTTGACCCAAAATGGCCACGTTTCGGCCGTTCTCTGCACATTTACAGGTATTACCTTCGGCAAAACGAGCAAATATGCTGGCCACTCTCGAACAGATTTTCTCCTCATGAATCGGAATGCGTTGGGATAGGAACTGGCTACACCCTTATTGGTTCACTCGCTCTAGTCTCTCCCTGCTAAGCCCCATGCGCCAGCTCAGGATGAGTAATGAGCTAGAACCAGCTCACTGAGAGAAGAGACCTCCGCCACTTCTTCCCCCCCCGATGGTGTGGCTCTAGGTCAAGTTCTCTCCCCCCCGTTGACTTGGTGTGCCAAACCAGGTTGGGAGGGAGCGGCTAGGTTCTCCAAAGGTGCCGGTCCTCGGAGAAGTCCAGAGTCCTCCCAAGCTTTTAACTTCATCGAATTGGTTGCGTGAGGGGCCATCAGCAATATTGCTTTTGCTTTCTACCCTGTCTATATACACGTGCGCACGCAATTGGGCGACCAGCAACCAGAACTCGCCAACTATGGCTCCACTGTCGATTTTGGGTGAATACCCTTTGACGAGTGATGCTGCTGCGCTGTCGTTGTCTATAAAAAGAATGATGGATCGGTTTTTAACTCGATCCTGCCAGGTAGAGAAGGCGAAGGGGGCTGCTAGCAGTTCCAACTGTCCCATGTAAGACTCCTTCTGGAGCCATTGTGAAACTATGGCATCGGAGACTGCCCAAGAAGAGAAGACAAGAGAGTGATCGACAGGATCAAAAAGGACGGCTCCGAGGAGACGTTGTGGTGAACGTCCGGGAACATCCGAGGCATCTGTATACATGAGGAGAGGATTCTCATGCGATAGTTTGAGCTCCCGGTCTGGGCAGTTACGTAAAAACTGCTTCATAAGCTGCAGTGAGAGGCGGATCTTTGGGGTGATGGCACGCTGGTACGCAGACGAGTACTGTCTGTGCCTCAGCGCTGCTGTACAGCATCTGCCAACCTTTCCAAACAAAGTGGAACATAGAAAACCGAATTTTCCAACAATACTTCCCGCCACAGCTGGTGAGAGATCGCCGGAACTCAGAATGGAATCGATAGTGTGAATAAGATTCACGATCCTGGAGGGCTTTGCCGAGACATTGATGCGGCGCTCACTAGCAAGGGCGGCAGTGGAGAACACAACTCCCAGAATTGCGCAAATTGCTGCAGGGGTTTGTGACTTCTCTGGGTCTAAGCTGAATCCCAGGAGCTTGAAAGATTCTTTCATCACAAAGATACCTGCCTGTATCGTCAGACTTGGCTCAACCAGAAAGAAATCATCAAAGAAATGGTCAACATGCAAATAAAAATAGCGCTGCAGAACCCGGGAGAGCCATTCACTGACTCTACAAAAGTTTGGTACTGCATGCCCTGCGCCAAAAGGTTGACCATACATTTCAAAAAGAACTACCTCGTGGCTCTCAGGGTTGTACACGGCGGTGATGGCGTAACGGACATCAGCCGGCGCCAGTGGAATTTGGCGATAGGCTCCTTTCATGTCCTCTGTGGCGAACTGTATGTTAGTACAGACCGCTGCCACTGCCCTCACCATGACACCGACATAATCGACCATAGCCATAGGGACCTTCTGGAGTCGATGTGCTGAAGGGTTTACTCCCGATGCTGTGTGGTCGTCGATCCTCCTGAACTTTTGTTTGCCCTGATCGTCCAAGCCTTGAGCTAGACCGAAGCTGGGGGTAACTTGGAAGTCCGTTTTGTATTTAACAATAACTTGATCAAGGGTCATAGGCGGACCCATTGTGCCACCTGCGACTTCCTTCATGGTCTTCTCCCAGATTGCTTTGGCCAACTCTGGCGGTCCCTTTTGGGCCATGAATTTTACCCTGGCGATCATGTCAACTGATCTCTCATGTTTACCGGCGTGGAACTTTTCCTTGGACATAGAAGGGGGCACGGGGAAGTCGTCAAAGAAAGGTGATTCAGCTGCCTCTCCCGTTATACCCAAGCCTTTCAAACAGGCCTGGGGTACCTCTTTGTCTTCTATGTCCAACAGGTCTTGTAGCCGGGTCATGAGGACGGTGTTTGGCTTCAGTCCCAATTTCTGGGCCGTCCAACTGGCCCTCTTGTTCTCCCTTACTTGCTGGCTTCGCAACTCCCTCTCCCAAGTCCTGAGCCTTTCCAGGGCTTCAAACCTCCTGGCTACTAGCTCCTGCGGAGAAGAGGAAAACAAGGCCACCGCCTTTGCGTGATCTGCCTTGTGTGTGGCCAGAGAGTCGAAGGGGTGCTGCAGCTGCTTCGCAGCTTCCAGGTGCTCAAGGGGGAGGAGAGCCCGTCTGGGATCAATTGAAGGCGTTTCCCATAGCTTGGTTGCTTCCCCGCTTCGACTGCCGCTTTCCTGTAGGGTTCCTTCTCCGGGAACGCCTTGGACACTCCAGGGGAATCAGAAGACTCTTTCCTCCGAAGGTAAGGCTCCCTGGGTACCGCGGCTGTTTCGTATCGCATCCCCGACTCGGAGAATTCGAATTTCTCCCCTCCTTTAAGGAGGGGGGCGGCCATACGTATAGGCTGCAAGCCCCACATGCTCGCGACCGCTTGGCTCAGGGGAGCGTTTGCCCCGGAGAAAACTTCCAGGAAGGATTGGTCCTCTTCCTGGAGGGTGCCGATGCCTAAGGCATACGCTGCACAAAACCCTTGCGGGTACTCTCTTTCTTCCCCGGTTGGGAAAGAGGTGACACGCCCATTTATCACGGATGGTTTCCATGACAAGTGTGAAACTCCTGTGCGGGAACAAACTTTACTGTTACTACACAGGCGTCCAATATAGCTTGCCAACCCCGGAATATTATGAATAAGCACCTGGGATTTACGCCTACGGCAATCTTTAAACATGCAAGCATGGTATTCCGCGGAGAAAACCCCCTGGAGTCCTTCTAACTCCTGCCAAGAGTCCAGCCTCCTTGCAATGGAGTTCTTCGGATGCTCCAACGAAAAGTACCTGCCAGCGCGGTGAGACTCTATACAATCTTCTGCTGCCATGTCCGCCATGCATGTATCTAGGTCGAGTCGTCTACGCTTTACAGGGGGAAGTTCAGCTAACACGGAGGGGATTCCCCGGGGGTTAGCATCATCCCGAAGAGGTTTAGGTGAAGAGAAGGCCCCAACAATTGGTCTCTCCCTTGCTCTCGAAAAGGTTGAGCAGTTTGGAGCCCAATGCCTTATCAAAGTTTCACCTAAAACGTCCCTCAAAGCTTCACCCTCGCTAAAAACGTCTCGACCCCTCAACAAATCCCATGGCTCAGCGACCTTTCTTTTGCCCTTGCGCGCGGGCTGCGCGTTCGGTCCTGTAAAAATCCCTCCCGGTGCGACGGTCGCACTCGCTCCTGGGAGGAGTTGTCCCTACTTGCCACCTCCGCCCCCTTTTCCCTCCTTTGAGGGATGGTTCTGGGCTGCCTTCTTGGCTCTGGCGTTAGCGGCCCTAGCTTTCTTCTTCTCCTTCTGCTCTCTGCGCCACTCCGGTGGAAAGGCGCACCTTGGTTCGTGGCGCTTCTTACACACCAGGCAGAAGCGAGGGTTGCGGTCGTAATCAACTCCGGGGTCGGGCGAGCGGGGACGTTTCGCCGCCTGCGGCTTTCTGTCCTCGCCCTCACCTTCTCCCCGGCCAGACTGCTTCAAAGCCCTCTCCTTCCCTTGGTCAGGGAGATTCTCTGGCTGCTGGGCCATCATCTTCCACAGCGACTCGTCAGGGTTTCGAGCGTAGTGGGCCAGGCCGTCTTCCATACTGCCTCGACCTTTGCCTACCCACTTCAGGATCTCGCTCATGATCTCCCTGTCCGTCTGCCTGACTTCATTCATAGTCGGCGCACGCATGCCTACTGGCGTGGGGGCCCGGAGGAGGGAGATAAACTTCCCTCCATACTCCATGGCAACGCCATACCCACACACCTCCATCATCTGGAAGGCGCGTGCTCGAAGTTGCATCACGTCGTGGAGCGCCAGGGGGTCCTCTATCTTGTTGGTCTCTCCGATCTCGAGCTCCTTGGACCTCAGCTCCAATTTCTCGTCGCCCACGATCACCTCCTTCTTGTCCTTGGGTAGCTTCCCTGCCCTGCGAAGGCGGTTCTCTGTGTCCATGTTGATATAGGCCTCCCAAGATATGTGCTGGTAGGAGCCACCTGGACCAAAGGTTCCTTGCACCTTTGTCAAGGTATGCAGGGATGGCCGTTCACGATCGTTGATCGGGGGTGGCATACCCGCCTCAATGGCTCTGTCCTCCAACTCTTGGGCCAGGGTCAAGGTAACTTTTGTCCGCATTTCGCTGTCTTCCCCTGCAAGCCTCTCCATCTTCTTCTTAGATGCTTGGCTCGACAGGGTCCACAGCTTCCGCAGACATCCCACATCTTCGTGGTGGCGATAGTCATCCCACGCTTTGACCTGAGAGCGAGGGTAGGTAACCATTCCCTTCTCGATCTCTGTACGCCGACTTGGTGCGCACCACTTTCTTAACAAAGTCCTCGAAGTCACTTGCTTGAGGGAAGCGGAACGCCATAGCCTCCATAGTAGAGACCCGTTCCGATACCAGTACCAGGTAGTCGGACTCGTGCACATCAAAAGATGCTGCTGCACGGCCAAACGCTACCTCCGACTGGACATCTGCCATGGCTATGCCGCGGCGCGCGGGGTTGTTTCCCAAAAACTTTGGGCCAAATCTTGCCAGGACATCATACACATGCGTCTCATTAGATGTGTCTACATTGCCTCCAAACGTAAGGGGGCAGATTCCCGGCAGAAAGCTCCAACTCTCATGGATTAACACATGGTGTTGGGGAGCGCATGGCTGCATGGTTGCAAAAACTTTTCCGGCACTTTTAATTGTCAGGTTCAATCGGAACTTCGTCCGAGAAAACTCAATAAATTATAAACAGACCAGCGCACCCCGGCTCTCATTCGTCCTTCTCCACGGCGTGGATTGAGCACCTGTGTGTTGTGCCGAAAAGCAGGTCCCGATGTCCTTCAGGATGATCTTCCATTGCCTCCGGCGCGCATCGTCGGGCGCATCGCACCAACTCACCGTTCTTTTGGGTTTCATACCCACAAAGCTCTGGGCAGCCGGCCGCCTTCCCAAAGCACCTCTCACACAGCGCGTAGTTGCCCCAATTCTCGGTTAGAGTAAGGGCCTCGAACCTCTTTCCCTGGACTCCACAGGCGGGCCCTAAACCCTCTGCCTGCCCAAGGACAGACTCACCAGGCCTGTGGACCTTTCCCAGGCCCGTGGCAGAGCAAATGAAGAACGGCAGCAAGGCCATGTCCGCTGCTTCGGGCTCCGCATCACTATCATCCGAGTCCAGGTCAGAATCAGGGTTCGACCCTTCCAGTTCAGACTCTATTTCCTTTGTAAGGGCATCCATGCATTCCTTCTGAACCAAGCGCTCCTCCTGCAGCTTCTTCACCAAACTTGTAGACGATCCCAAACTAGGATCTTTGAAGGCTTCTGGCAAGTCCTGTGGGGCGACAGGGCAACTACCCCGGATCTTCACCTCGCCTCCCTCCTCATCAGCAACGCAGACGACGGCGGCTTCCATGGCTCGAACGGCTTCCTCCGGGGGGACTCCAACAGGTGCTTTTTCTTTAAACATAGCTTCTGGACTCTTCCAGCAGGATTGACCTGGCACCAGATTGAGAGGGCGACCTTCCAGAACACTCAGAGTGACCCCTCGCCTCACCTGGTCCAGCACCTCCATCTGTGCTTTGATTACGAGGACTTGCACCTCCCGTAGGTACAAATCAATCATGGTTTCACTGGCCTTTCTCCACGCACCTTGATAGCGGATAGACCGGGACTTGACTCCGGTGTGCACCATCAGCGTGGTCAGCGTATTCTTGCAAGAATGCCAGCGAAGGCCTTGGACCTCATGTACGGACAGGGGAACTGACCTCCCTGCGTCGAAGTCCTCCATGATGGCCTGCTTGGCCAGCACGACATCCTCCCCAATGCATGGGGGCGCCGCTGCAAAAGATCCTTTTCCGTCACTGGCACAGCCTAGGAACCCATGGGTTGCCCAGCTGCTGCCGTGCGCTTTCAAAAGGAGATCTGCCAGGACAAATAACCAGCGGTCATTCTCTGGCCTAACTCCCAACCAAGAGGCTGCCCAAGGGCGTGGTCCACTCTTGGTCTTGCCAGCCCTTGCCCTCAACCCAAGGATGGTCTCTTCTCCCACTACCCTGCACCACTCTACCCTCGAGAGGGCCGTGGTCGCAAGATCACTGTGGCGCACTGAGGCCTGGGTGCAAAGGCGGAGCTTTCCAAGGACCAATCTGTGCTCCAGTTTCTTTGACTCATCCAGAACTGCCTTTTCAAGGTAGTCCAGGAAGGAAACTGGGAAAGGCGGGGCTTGCTTCTTCTCCGGCGCCTTCTTGGAATAATCCAGGGCCAGCTTCTTGCACCTCGGGTGCTTAGATCCGGGCGAAGCAAAACCAAAAACCGCACTGAAGTGCTCAAGCGCGTAGATGAAACTCAGCGGCGTCATGAACCCGGTCTCGTCTGAGATCATTGACAAGATTTCCCGCTGGACTCTCTGGATACTGAAGGGAGAGCATGACTCCTTCTCGGATGACGACTCGACGGACAGCCTGTCGATGTATCTAGTCATAAGTCTGGCATACCTGAGCCCTGTGCCAGGGGATCTAGGCTCAGTGATAATCCTGAACTTTTCCTCATCAATGGAGCTTCCCCCATCAACTGTCACAAAGTCCACAAGATCCATTTCCACCTGGAGTATAACCAGATCTTCAAAGATCTTGAGACACATGGACTGAAAGGAGTTCAACTTCTCCAGATCTAGCGGGTTGTGCCTTGTGGGCCTCCTCCGCTGTACGGGTTGAGGTGGTTTCACTTTCTCCGGAGGAGAGGGCGGTTGTGGCACCGCTCTTTTCCTGAAACTGAACCCCACGGCCTCCCCAACTGGGCGCTCATGAGCTCTCACAGGTTCAGGGGACTCCTCCTCCTGGTCCTCCAGAGGGGTTGAAGGAGAAGGAACGATATCGCTGGGATCCAAAGCTTTCCTGGCAAAGGCGGCTCCAGCGGTTTGCGATGAGACCCAAATTGGGACGCCTTCCCTCGCGGCACCGGCTGCCGCTCGATCATAGGAACTGGTATTGCTACCGGTCCCACTGCCAGCACGCCATGGACCATAAGCGCCAAAGGTCGCAGGTTCCTGGCTCGGAGGATTGGACTGACTCCCTCTCGGCCCTGCACTCCTTGATTCCGGTGCCTTGCCCCTATTGGGTCCGTCCTCAAGCGTAGGGACTCGATGTTGGACTAGGTGGTGGTCTGCTTCCTCACAACCCTCGATAGCTCTAAGGATTTCCTCTGCAGGGATACCCTCCTGCAACATTTCGGCTATCTCCAACCTCGCAGACCAAGCGCCCACTGCAAAAACTCCAGTGGTCTTTCCAAGCTTGGCCCTCTTTTGGGCTGGCCTACTCGACCCCCCTTTTGATTCCTCGTCTCCCTCAGGGGATCGAAGCTCCCTGGCAGGACGAGTTGGAACCCTCGGGTCGGAGGTCTCCAGGGGTTTTGGCCTCCCTGGGTTTGGTGCAGACTTGTCCCTCCTGACGGTCGATGTCTCGCCAGGAGGGCTTCGATTTCCTCCCCTATATGAGCCGGGTCTACCCGCTCCGACCTTGGGGGTTGAGTCCGTCCCCGGGCTTCGGAAGATCTAGCCCACACCGGCACAGCCATTCTCCCCTCCCCCCGTTGAAACAAATCAAGGAGAGGGGGGTGGCTGTTCGAGTGAGCTTGACCCAAAATGGCCACGTTTCGGCCGTTCTCTGCACATTTACAGGTATTACCTTCGGCAAAACGAGCATATATATATATATATATACATTTATATAAATAATTATATGTATATATGTATATATGTATATGTATATACGTATGTATGTATGTATATTATATATATATATATATATGGCCACTTACGACTCTGGAGTGAACCACCACATTTCAGCACTCAGCTTAGTCACAGCATATTCAGACCCTTGCCTTGGGCTGTAGCATTATGCAGCTATCTGTTCTTGGAGAAGCGGAGAGATATTGGAATATATTGGGTATACCCTCTGGTAAACTAACATAGCTATGGAAAATCACCATTTTTAATGGGACAATCAACTATTAATGGCCATTTTCAATAGCTACGTTAAATTACCAGAGGGTATATCTCATGAACATGTGGATATATTTTCGGATGTATATTGGCAAGTTTGGTTATCTCACCATCATTTGATTCTATTTTTCAGGGCGTCACAAAGGCATGCACAGCGGAATATGTTTGCCAAGTACTTGCACGTTCAGAAAAGGGAAGATTAGCTGCTTCAAGAATTGGGCTATAGGTCAAACTTGGGTACACCAAAATTAAAATCCCTGAAATTGGGATGCTTTATAGCACCCCCAAAAAAAAACGACTTGCTTTCCCAGGATATTCTAGATATGTTTTTTCCACATAATTTCCAGGATTTCAATTTTTCTAAGACGCTCCATTCCTTATATGATGTATATATATATATATATATGATGCGTATACATATATATATATGATTACACAATATATATATTTCTTAAGTTTTATGATAAAATGACATTATATACATATATGTAAATCATATCATATTACAGTAGAAATTCTACACAACTACAACATCTCTCGTCCGTCTCTGGGTCGCCCCAACCACATCTTTGAAGCCCAACTGCTCGGAGACGGACAACGGACTTTCGCCCTTGGTGTTGGCCTGGCTGAGATTTTTTTTGGGGGGGATTGAATCCTGAAATGGTAAATTCGATGGGAAAAAAACTTAGTATATCACTTGAACAACTGGGAATATATACATATGTATATCATATAATATAGCGAAATGAAATGGTATATAAACTTGGAAGATAAGGATGAACGTGGTATATAAACTTGGAAGATAAAGATGAACGTGAGTTTAATTTGGCTAAAATGACTTGGTAGATTTGGTTGATGGCTGTGTAACTGGCAACACAAACTTGGAACGTTGGGAATGTCTTTCCAAAATATACACATAAACATGCTATAAACTATAAACCAACAAGGTTACCTTCTGGGTGTGTTCTCCATGGGAGAGTTGTCTGCTGATATAGAGAAAATGATGGTAAACAATGTTGATTTTATAATTGTGGCTAATGTGGGTGAAACAATGTCATAAACCACCCAATTGGGAATGGTTTAGACCACCTATTTATGGTGATTGGGGGGATGGTTTATGACATTGTTTTACCCACATTACTCCCCTTATTTTAAGATGAAACACCCCCGAGAAACCATGGTTTAGTAGGAGATGAAATCTCATATTTGGGACCATTTCGGAGTGTTTAACATTACAGGGATGGGAATAATCGACCATTTGGTTCATGGTTGCGATCCAACTAATTTATGGTTTCATATTTGGAATTGTTCATGATTGGGTTACCACAGAATGCTGATTATTTAGGGGACTGGAACAATATGAATCCAACCATTCTGTCACCATTCAGCTTATACTAGGTCCAGTATAGTTATGTTTTAAACTGCAAACATATAAACATGCAACAGAAGTTTCTAGATATGGGGACAGATTGGTTTGCAAACTTTCACAACCTGCCTGAGCCATGAGAATCATGGCAGCTGTTTGGGCAGTGATTTTCCAAGGTGGTAAGTCAACACAGGACCCCTCTACTGGTGGTTTCTTGCTATCTCAGGGATATGAGTAAAACAGCCAGAAAATCATGATGGAAAGTCCTTGAACATAGACATGCCGGAAAGAACACACATTATCATAGAGCAGTTTAGTGAACCACGATGAGGATTGGCATCCAACAAAGCCCTGAACCATCAGTATTGATCAGCAACGTGCGAAATCGTCCAAACAATCCAAAGGCCACCATGTTCCTTTAAAACTGTGTTCTACATTGAAATCGAAACGTTCTATTCATTTCTTCAGTGTTTGACAAAGATTTTCCAGATGTTCCATGATGTTCCTGGAGTGTCCAAATGACAAAAACCCCATGAAAAAGCACTAGAATCAGCATTAAAGCATATTCAACCAATGGCCATTTCAGGTACCTAAAAAATCGAGGTACCTGCCAAATATTTTTGGCCTAATGTAAAAGGATATGCCCTAAAAATATGGCCTTCTCTGGTTAACCGTACTTCTATTTTAACATGAGTGGGTCCTGAAATTCCCATTCATACCATCTTAAACCATACGAACTACCATGGCACCATATTATACAAGGCGGTGCCCCCTAGATAGCCAAGTTGGTGCAAATAAGTCCAATAACTATGGTTTTTGTTGGTGATATATCTATAGTCAATGGGGTTTATAAACCAATTTATAACGTTTGGGGGGGACCACCTTGTAAATGTTCATAAACATTTCTGAATGGTCTTCACTAATATTTATCTGGTTGGTGGCTAACCTACCCCTCCAAGGGGGGCACCATATTATAGACGATTTTTTCACCCACCATTTCTCCATCTGAGATGGGTGGCACGTTTCGCCTGATTCACATCGGCATTGCCCATGATCAGAGTCTTGGCCACGACCGGCAAGTCGTTGTTGGCCGCCATCAACATGGCAGTCTGACCCTTCCTCAGCTCGAGCTGAGCAAAAAAAACTCCGAGGATTTCATAACTCACCGCAAAAAAAAGTCTGATTTCGATACATATGTAATAGTATGTGCATATATATATATATAACTGTATATATGTATATATAGAACCATATATATATATACATATGTTATGTGGTTATGTGTATATGTGTATATATATATGTATATGATGTATGATGTTTATATTACATAAATACATATGTGTATATATATATATGTATATGATATATATATATATATATATATGATATATATATATATGATATAAATATATATATATACATACATATGATAATGTCCATCTATGTCTATGTCTGAAGTCTAACTTGAAGATCATTGAACTCATTGCTTCCTTCCCGCGTTCGGCCGTTAGTTTCACCAGTTTTTTTGTTGACACCGAGAGCCCCGACGCATTGGCCATATTGACCTGTGCCTTTGCACTCAACAGCTGCTTGGCTGCATGCGGTCGATCCTAGGCTGTGCAGCACGGAAACAACAGCATGAGTCAAACGTCCAGTTTTCGCCAGGAGTTTACATGAGTTCACCAACAAACATGCTGGGTTTTACCATGATGATTTACAGTAATTTATCAATTTTAATCATATTGACCGACAACAACAATATCAATGGGAATTCCAGGATCCTAAAATCCCTGGAATTGCCATTGACAATACAGAAAAAGAGGGCTGAAACAACGCTGGGAATTGAATCAACAAGAAGTGGATCAATCACACGGTGATTTCACAGCCAAGAGTTGTAACTCTCGGTCAGTCTACAACAACTGGTTCATGATAGAATGTGTATATATATATATATATACTGGTTGGTGGTTGACCTACCCCTCTGAAAAATATTAGTTAGTTGGGATGATGACATTCCCTATATATGGAAAAATAAAAAAATGTTCCAAACCACCAACCAGTATATATATATGTATATATGTAATCCCCCTTGAAATTCAGTGAGTAGGTCGCACCCCCTGATTCTGTAAGTACAAAGCTGGGGCCTGACCTTCAGATATGATATATGTACTTGTGCATTTTAAGCGCTTTCGTTGGCAACTGGTTCAATCATGTCAATCGTAATTGGATATCCTTGGATTGGTTTAAGGGAAAATCTGAACCGGAAACCCATAGGTTTTTACCATCAAATTGGTTGGGGATTCCTGTAAATTTTGTCATCATCCAATTCTATGAGGATAGTGTTTCACAGTGTAACCGCCCATCAAAAGGTGATGGTCCCAATTTCATCGGTCAGTGTAGCCATCAAGGTCGGCGCGTCGAGGCGTCGAGGCGCGTGAGCAGAGACGATGATGAGAGGACTTAAGCCATCCATAGATTGTGCCTCAGTTACTGTCCCGGCCCCCTGTGATCCCGATATTCGATCCCGGTATAGTTTAACAAATACCACAGGCTATTGCCTGCGAAAATTCATCATGAAGCATCTTTTTTTTGGGGGGTACCCTATGTTCATACAACCCTCCAGAGTGTTTCACAAAATTGCGGAGATTGGGTACCCCAAAATTCCAACAGGAGGATTCCCCGTGAACAAATGACCAAGAACTTGAATGAGAACTTGTGATGTTGCCGTGACTTCGGAAATTATGTAATATTATATTATATATATATATATATACCCTCTGGTTATTTAACATAGCCATGGAAAATCCCTTATAAATTGGGGTTTTAATGGAAAATCATTTATAAATGGGCCATTTTGCATGGCTATGTTAAATAACCGAAGGGTGTATATATATAATATATATATATATATAATTGCATGGTTACGGGTTATTTCGTGTGTCCCTAAGATATCCTAATGTTAGATGGTTGAGACCCCATGGTACCCCCAATTCCTTTGGATGGTTGATACATGTTGTTATGTCTAAAAAAACAATGGCTGAGATGATACAAACGCATGGCCAATGTTTGTTTTTGTTTTAACAAAACATGTTTGGCACTAAACCTTGTACTACCACGAACTGCCATTAAATTGTTGATTCAATTCCGATTTGCTGGTTATACTGTTGGTTCATTAACTACCATCAATGACCATAAATAAACTATACATCCCATCAAATCAGAAATGGTAATCCCAACCAATCACCATTTGTCTTGCTGAAATTCATTCATGTTTACATTTTTTGTTATTTACAATCCAGATGTTGGTTGCTTAGACCCTACCTTTTCTAGCCATGAAACCAATCAATCTGCCAAGACGCATTCACGTCCGCCTTGTGAAGCAGAAGAAGTTCCAAGCTGACGCCGAAAAAAACGGTGGTTTTTTGTGCTCCGGTGGCTGTTTTGGATGGTGAAAAACCATCGGAAAACCATAGGAAAATGGTGATTTAACCATGAGAAACATGTGGAAGTGTTTTTTTTAATGGGATTTATAGCCGATGGCGGATGATAGCCAAGTTGACGCACATAACTTAAGGTAAAGGTTTGGGTTCATTGGGGGGATATAAGTGAGGTAACTGTAGTTAATTGGATTTTGAAACCAACAAACATAGCTGGGGTGCCTCACATTGTAGGATATGCGAGTTTAGGCCTTACCATCTTTGAGATCTGACATAGGAAACTGTGAGGATCAGTTGGGTGGCAGAATCAACGGACTAAGATTCCATGAGCTAGGAGTAGACGGGGTATCAACAACGGAGGTCTTGAACACAAATGAAAAGAACTAAAGGAACTATCCTTCAAGTAAACCCAAAAGTTTCTTCCAGCATGCTGCATGAACATCAACTTCTCGAATGTCCTTGGCACCAAGAAAAGTCAAAGTCATCCATGTTTCACTACACATCAAGCAGCGCTTCCGATGCGTAAGACTGGGAAAATCCTCTGAAAAGGTCACCATCGGACAATTTTTCAGAAATCATCACAGAAGAGCTACCAATTGCGTCAATAGTTGTTTTTATGATATAAGTGATATGTAGTATTAAATACATATACATAAGATGATGCCCCAGAAATTCTTTGGTTTATACAGCAACCCCATGAGCTGTATACAAACTTCAGGAGGAACAAAGTTTATGCTTCGTGAAAGCTCTACAAAACATCCATCTCGGTCAACTGCGGATCACATTTTCAAGTCCGTTTTGTGTGGCAGGTGTGGGACGGTCAATGGTCACCATCTTTTAAATATGAAGCTTTTGGAGGGTGGAAATGCGACTGGGGTACGACAAAGCTCCATGCTAGGATTCTACGGGGAAAGGGTGTGCAGAAGAAGAAACCAAACATGTTCACTGTGGGAAGCTCAACAAGCGCAACTTTTGTCCTACCAGTGTACATATATATATATATATATTCTAAATCCTGGTGATTTTCGTTATAAACCAACTTTGTTCTCATCAGCCAATCATCAGCATTAATCAGCTCCAACTCCCCTAAACATCACCATTGTTCGAAAAAAATGTGCCTTCCTGTGATGGTTGGTGGTTTCAATCCCTCTGAAAAATATGTGTCAATGGGAAGGATGACATCCCATATATGAAATGGAAAATAAAAATCATGTTCCAAACCACCAACCAGATTATAATCCCCAATATATTGGGTAGTATAATCCCCAATCATCAACCAGATTATATCACCATTATAATCACCAGATATTTTTGAATATCTATAATCCCCTATAATCATCAACCAACAAGGGTTTTGAATATCGTTGCTGTCTCCAGAATATCTGATTCTTCAGTTCCCGGTCGGTGAAACTCACCCCGGTTTTTAACGCTTTCCTTGTCACCGCAGCTCCGGGGGCCAGACGTCGATTTGGCTCCAATCACACCATCCACGTGCACCTCGCAGCGATAGGGGCCTCACCTGGTTTCAAAAAGCCAGGTGAAACCTCATATATCATATATGTATCTATATGGATTGGTAATGTATCTATATGGATTAATAATGTTTCATCTGACTAGTGGTTTATCCATGAACTAGCTATAGAAACTATTGCATTGTTATATGGTGTCGTATCCCGGGCCGTCAGTTTAGCTACCTTCCTTTGGAAGTGTTTCGAGCTCCTTGATCTTCAGTTGCAACAACAGCATCTTATCACAAGGAATAGGGATGAAACTACCCGCAGTCGTGGCCCAGGCACTAATGCCCCTCTGTGGCAGAGATTGCGAGCTAGCTGCCCGCGAACAGTCTTTTATAATGGTCCAATCCTGGACGGTGCAGGCAACCAGTGCCAAACTGACCTGGACTTGTCTGCAGCCATGCTCGCCACCCGCAAGTTCTGGTTCCAACCGCCTGTTAAATATTCGTTTGGGGGCCACACCTTGCAAGACAAGAAAGCTTCGGAACAAGTTTCCTGTCCCCCAGCCCAAACATTGAAAGATAGGATCAATTTATGTCACTGTCAATTTCATCAATGTCATGTTTTGTCCACCATTAGCGCAAACACCAATGACAAATCATTCCAGCAACACCCAAAAATAAGATTGAACAGAATTGAAAAGTTAAAATAACCACTATATTCACTACAAAATCTGAGATTTTGCAACCTTCATCTAACTTCTATCTTCTTGTTATATGTCCATCAACACCTATATATCCCATGACATTTCCAGTATATTCCATTAAACCAGTATGTTCCCCCCATTGTCGCTTAGTTCATCCGCTATAAACCAGGTAGTATAACCCCCTATAAGAACTATCTAACTTCTGTATTCTTCTTATATGTCCATCAAAAACGATATATCCCATGACATGTCCATCATATACCCCCAGCAAAAACCACTATGACGTCCATATCCTCATATATATATATATATTATATTCATATTCCCAATATGTACCAGGTAGATCCCTATTATTATCCATATATATATATATATACAACTATTAAAATTATATAGGCCATATTATCCATATTATATTCACATTGTATATTCCATATTCATATAATGTGGTTAAAACATGTTAAAACAATCATAAACCATCCCCCAGTCATCACCATTTTTATAGGTGGTATACATCATGGTAAATTATAATAATTCACTAACCTGAATCTTGCGGCCATTGATGATTCCCCTATAAAAACCATGATTCCAGGGCTCGGGAGAACAGTGAGGTCGTTATAATTTACCCAGATATATATATATATATATATATGGATGAATTACCAGAGGGGTACTATATACCTATACATACCTATATATCATAATGGGAACCACCTTGTATACATTAAAATCTGGGTGGTTTATTGTTTTACCCACAACAAAATATCCATATAGCGGACCCCCATAGATCCAGGCGCCTTGCGCTCCGATTCGGGACGAGGGCCTGGCGCGAATTGAGCCATGGATTTCCTGTAGATTTTCCCATCAAGCCATGGATTTCAGGGGAGTTTAATATGGTACAAGGTGGTGCCCCCGTTCGATAGCTAAGTTGGTGCACATAACTCCAATAACTATGGTTTTTGTTGGTGATATATCTATAGTTAATGGGGTTTATAAACCAATTTATAACGTTTGGGGGGCACCACCTTGTAGGTACCTCCAATTTAGGTTCCTGAAATGGCCGTTGATTTAATGACTTTTCGTGGTTGTGAACAATGGTTGTTTCTAACGGGATTGAAAAATGGGATTTGAAGGATTTTTAAGTTAACTCTGATGAAATAACTAGCCACCAGTAAAAGCCAACAAACAACTATGGAAATTATCTACAAATAGTGGATATTCCATATCCATGTTAGTTTACTGGAGGGTATCACTCGGTATCACCTTTTAAGTTCATCAAACATGGTAATACTAGCAAGTGTTTTTGTTCCCACCATTTATCAACGTGTTTCTTCCTCTGAAAGGTATTGTTCCTTCCTATATTACATTACAAGAGGGTTTGGGTATAGGCAAGTTTTATTCAGTGTGGGCTAGGCACAGGGGTGAAAACCATAGTAAATCATACACATTCAGATTTGTCCAGAAGTAGGGCAACCCCGTTTCTCTTGGTTACATCAGATTGGTTCAGAATATAAATATACAAATAATATTATATATATATATATACGTATTTACATATCCTATTATATGCCAATGTTTGTTGCTAAATTCCACCACGTTCCCAGTACATTCTATCCCTCACCTTTCCTGAAATAGGGTACACAAAATTCAGATGTGTTTCATCCTTTGCACCAATTTTGGTTGGTTTTATATCCTGATATTACACCGTACTTCTACAGTAAAAACCTCACTGTCCCGTGGTTTATCGTGTTTTCCAAGATTGTATTGTTTTCGGGAATCCATCCCCTTTTTAGCCAAGATGCCCTCTGATGTGACCGCGTTGGAATTCATGGCATACCTGCGCTAGGATCTGTTGTTAGGATCTGTACGCCTGAAATTTCAGGCCCAATCTTGGAAACCCTTGAAGCTCCCAAAATCATAGCGCGGAAAAAAAAAGGCCTCAGAAGGCCCTTGGATCATCTTGGATCCATATGTTAGTTGGATTTTTCTAATCTGACATTGAAGGAAACGGGAAACGACTTGTCGAATCCTAGATCCAGGATCGTCCATGTGAAGCGGGTCAAGTCACATCGGAACGAGACAATTTGAGTCACAAACCTCATATTCTGACCAACTGTAGCAGAGAATTTTACCATCCACATTCACCTTTTGCATAAGCTGAGTGATATGAGACGATATCGTAATGATAATGATAATAACGATAATATGTTAATGACAATTCTAATGGTACACATAGAGGTTTATGATTATGTATATTATATATATACACATAGTGATCTTGGAGTAGAAAGAATATTGAAATGTCAAAAACACCTCCACATGAAAACTGAAAACAATGTTGAACATTGAATCAGAATGTAATATCTACTTCAGGATGAATATATATATAGGATTAGATTAGATTAGATTAGATTAGATTTGACTAGAATAGATAAGATTAGATTTGATTTGAATAGATTGAATAGATTGAATAGATTAGACTACATTAGATTAGATTAGATCTATATATATATATATATTGTATTTAAACAGTTCTCGCACCATTTCCAAATGACATTTTGTATTGCAAATAGCGTATATGGTATTAGTATATAATCCCCCAAAAGTTACAACATGTAAATCCGACAAACAAAAAATAGTGACAAACAACTTGTCTATTTTTTTCCGGGCAACCATTCACATATTCTATCTCCTTCATAATAACTATATGTATGTATGTATATATACACATATGATACAGTATATATATATATATACCCTCTGGTAATTTAACATAGCTATGGAAAGATCCACCATTTTATAGCTGGGTAAATCCACGATTTCGACTGGGCCATGTTCAAGTTCGCAAACTGTTAGTTTACCAGAGGGTATATAAATAGAATATTAAAGATAAGGGGTGAAAAAAAAGAAGAATAAGTATAAGGATTAAAAATCTGGTAAGAATAAAAAATTAAAGAGATAATTAGATAAATAAGTGATTATATACGGTCAATCTTTGGTCCACAAATGTCATCTTTGTGAATTCTGAGCTCCTGGCATCAAAGGTGTCCATCCCTCGTTGTCCAAGGCATTGACCAAGGACTTCCTCACGCATTTAGCCCCTAGGATTGATCCTGGGACCCAGGGATTTAGCATATATATATATAGAATATATATATATATATCTAGAGAATATATATATATATACAAATTATATATATATATGAAAAAATGGAGTGATAGATAGATCTAGCGGTAAGTCCTAGTTATTGGAATGATGTGAACGTTGGCTTATAAACCATGAATTAATCCCCATTAACTAGTTCGTTATATCTACCATAAAATATAGTTAAGCCACTTATAAGCCAACTTAGCTATCTTGGGGTAATAGCTATGGAAACCACCATCTTGAGTAACCGCTGTGGATGGGCCAGCGAAATCCTAAAAACCAGGTAGGGTTACTATTGGGATTTCTACAAAACACTGCAAATAATGGGACTATCATGGGATGTTTACCATCTACCCTGCCTGGTGCAGGATTTCGCAACCATCCACCGTAGATAAAGAAATTGGATTTATGCATTGAAAACCATTGGCTTTACAACTAAAACTCATTTCAGGTTTAACAAACAAAACCTGGGATTAAAAGAACGGATGTTGGACTTAACCAAAGAAAAACTTGGGTTTCATCACCCAACAGGCATGTTCAGAAAACATGGGCTTTGTCTGGCAATTTTTGAGGATATGACCCATCAATGATCGGAACCTGAAAAGTCTTTGGCTGCATGGAGCAGAAACCCAGATCTGTTGATCAGCGTACAATACCAAACGATCCTGACTAGCCCCAAAATCGTGTAATGTGTATATATATATATACATATATATATATATACATATATATATATGTATATATATATATATATATGTATATGTATATATATATACTATATATATATACTCTATATATATATACACTATATATATACTATATATACTATATATATATATATGTACATATATATATATGTATATATATACTATATATATACAATATATATATATATACACTATAAATATACTATATATATATACTGTATATAGAGTCATAAAAATCATATCAAATCAGATTTGAGAAGAAACAACATCTAAGAATTTCCAAGATCATAAAGAATATATAGAATGATAAACCTTTATCAGATCATCTAAAGTCAGTGCCAAGATCCCCAGTTCACAGCCCAGTTCATGATAGCCCCGGCATCTCCTTTCAAGGAGATGAGCAACGATCTCCACCTCACACCTGGCCATCCGAAGAGCTTGGCACTTGAGATGGGCCCGGGGTCAAAAGCCTGGTACCCGGATGGTACCCTAAAAATAGCATGGATGTTTATTCCCCCAAATATGGTACAATAAGATAGCTAAGTTGGTGCAAATAACTTCAATAACTATGGTTTATGGTGCTTATAACTCTAGTTACTGGGGCGAATCTAAACCAACGTTCACATCACTGGGGGGGCCCTATGAAAAAATGTGATTTTCCACAGTTATGTTGAATTTTAAATTACCAGAAGGCAAGAGCGAATATTGATGTGCCGATATCGGGGATGATCTGTAGGATGTCTATGATAAATAAAATCTCCATATTGAGGAATTACCGAATATTGGGAAATTTTGGAGAGTATGTATAGGAATTAAATGGTGATATATATATATAATTATATATAATTATATATAATTATATATATATGGGAAGTGATTCCTGGAAATGAGTAATATTGGAAATCCTTCCAAGGTGATGCCCCAGTTAGCAGGGTTTGTGGTGAACATCACTTCACTCATCAGGCTTTGTGGTAGATGTAACAGGGGTTGTGGTAAACATTGGCCCATTAACTATAGTTATATTAAGCCAAAGGGGTATATATATATGTATTTATATATACCCTCTGGTAAATTAACAGTTCGACCCTGGCAGATATTGTGGGTTTGGAAGACTCGTGAAACCACTATAAATTGGTCATTTTCAGAGTCAAACTGTTAATTTACCAGAGGGTATATATATATATATAGTTCATGGGCCAATGGAGGCGGCAAACCAACTTGGAACTGGGGTAAACCAACTATGGCATTGGAAGGTCTCCGGACTTAAATGGGGATTTGACATGATTTGACCAGTCAAGATGATATTTCAATGTGGTCAATCAATGTCAATCAACATAAATCCTTTGCAAATGGTCTTGACGTACTTGACTAGGTTTGATAAGACTTGTAGTCGTCAACTCTTCACACTCGACATCCAATTGTTTTTCCCAAAAATTGATGCATCTAAATGCCTTTTGAATTTCTAGATGGTGAACATGTTCCCCATGTTTGGAGGTTTCCTGAAATTGGGATACCCCCATTTATCATCCATTTCTAGCTGGGATTTTCCATGAAATAAACCAAACATTTTGGGGATCCCCCATTTATGGAATCCTCCATAATTATATACATGTGCATATAATATTGATCATTATTAACCATTATTAACCATCATTAACCATCATTAACCATCATTAACCATCATTAACCAATCATTAAACCTCGGTTTATCTTGGTGAAATCATGTTGAATTCGTGTCAGGATCTCAAGACGGTTGAAGCCGCCAAGACACCGATGACTTGCTGCGTGCAGCGCTGTGCTGCCATCGCCATTCAGTTGATCCACCTTCGCCTGGCGAATGGAGATCTCTCGGGGACTTTCTATGGCGATATTTGATGAGATGTAAATGATATAAAGATATCCCATGGGAATATACATGGATGTATATTAAATTAAATAAATGGGATAGTAATATTTGTTTTCTATGGAGATATACATGTATATGGAGATAAATAACATCATAACTGGATATTATATTAACATATATGTAGATCCATATATCCATAGATTATGATTGGCGATAGTTCATGGCATTGTATACATAGATGGATATAATATAATTGATGTAAATGATATATGGAGATAGAAAAATAATTCATTCTATCATGGTTGATAATCACATATATATGTTTCATGGGATATACATGGATATACCCAATACCCAAGAATAGCGGGATATAATTGATGTAAATGATATATGTGATATATATATATATATGTGATATATATATATGTGATATATATATATATATATATGTGATATGTGATATTGGTGAAATCCGATCCAGGTAGATAAATAGATAGATAGGTAGATAGATAGATAGATAGTTAGATAGATTGATAGATCGATAGATGGATAGATGGATAGATGGATCGATAGTTAGTTTCGTAGGTAGATAGATAGGTAGGTAGATAGATAGATAGATAGATAGATAAAAGAGAGATAGAGAGATAGAGAGAGAGAGATAGCGATATAGAGAGATCGAGAGATAGAGAGATAGAAATATAGAGAGATAGGGAGACAAACAAATAGACAAACAAACATATAGACAGACAAACAGATAGACAAACAAACATATAGACAGACAAACATATAGACAGACAAACAAATAGAGAGACAAACAGATAGACAAACAAACATATAGACAGACAAACATATAGAGACAAAACAAATAGACAAACAAACCGATAGACAAATAGATATAGATCGATCGATAGATCGATGAACCGAGCGATCGATATGCTATTTCTATGTATTTCAACACTTCTGCAACCATTTGAAATGACTCCCAATGATGGTCATATCCTTTGACTGTGCTCTACAGTTGCCAGGTATCATTGGGAAGTTTGGCCATTGCTCCTCGTATAGATTTGACTAATCGTTTGGGAAACCCTAAAAATCGGGATGTTGATCATCATTTTCAAAACTAGAACTCTTCAAATCTAGTGCAGTGGCGTATCATATCTTATTTTCAGACACAACGATACGACTGAACCTCCAGCAATAGGCTTGGTTCTCAGGAATCTGATCCATGGTGGAAATGATTTCTTGATACCTCTCCACCATGATCTGTGTCCCCTGTTAGAGGGAACAGTTCTAGAGGATGGGGTCAAACATGTGCTATTTCCCTAGCTCCAACCATCTGTAACTGCGTTTTTTGGGTGGGCTCCAGCTTCTCAGTGGGTATTTGGAGTGCTATAGGGTATATTTATTGGTGGCAGCTGAGGGCTGGGCTACTTTTGTGTTCCTTCCAAGTTAAAAACCCTCCTGCCCTAGCCAGCTTCTTCTGCAGTTTTCCCGTGGCACCCAAACCTGTTCGCCTGTGAAGGAATTCCATCCGATTAAAAAAAATACAAACATCCGACATGAATAACTGATGAGCAGCTGAGTTAGTCACTCAATAAGCCTCAAACATCCATCCTTAACTTTTGGATTTGCTAAAAAGGGCCCCTTTCCCACATATTTCTAGTGGATTTCCCAATGAGAAAAAATATTCAGAAAATCAGCATCATCATCTGGGTCCATGTTCGACCCCAACCCTTGGTTTCAACACTTTGGTTCCTATAAGACATACATATACAATGTGGGGCCCCCAAGATAGCTAAGTTGGTGCAAATAACTCCAATAACTATGGTTCATGGTACTTATAACTATAGTTATGGGGGTTTATAAACCAACTTATAACTGGGGGGCCCACATTGTATATACTTGAGGCCGGGGGTGGATGACGAAAGCTAGCGGGGTAGGAGAAAGAAGGAAGGGAAGAGGTGAGTTGCGGAGGGACTGTCATCATCGTGTCGCGGCATTGTTCGTCCCAACGAGGATGCAACAATGATATATGATATATGATATATAACAATGATATATATGGGGGAGGGGGCAGGGGGGGGCCCTTTCGCGTGAAAAAGCACGTGATGTCCTTGGGGAGCCCCGGAATACTTGCTAAAGCAAGAAGACTCTAGCGAGCTGACGCTAGCTTTCGTGATAATGCCAATAATTGCCAATAATGATAAAATGTAATTGATTAACGATGATGGTGATGGTGATGATGATGATGATGATGATGATGATGATGATGATGATGATGATGATGATAACGATGACGATGGCGAGGACGATGACGATGACGAGGACGAGGACGAGGACGATGATGATGATGATATATGATGATGATGATGATGATGATGATGATGATGATGCTGATGATGATGATGATGACGATGACGAGGACGATGGCGAGGACGATGACAATGATCATGATGAACGATGATGATGATGGTGGTGATGATGATGATGATGATGATGATGATGGTGATGATGATGATGATGACGATGATGATGACGAGGACGATGGCGAGGACGATAACGATGGCGGAGACGATGACGATGATGATGATGATGATGATGATGAAGACGATGATGATGATGATGATGATGATGGTGGTGATGGTGGTGGTGGTGGTGGTGGTGGTGGTGTTGGGGGGTCCCCCCCTTTCGCGTGAAAAATCACGTGATGTCCTTGAGCAGCCCCCGGAATACTTGCTAAAGCAAGAAGACTCCAGCTAGCTGACGCTAGCTTTCGTGATAATATATCTATTTCATGTTATTTCTAGTTTTGTGCAGACCGGGATCCAGAAAAGGTCGCCTCTAGTCATTTCACAGATTGTTTTAATGATTTTCGGGCTTTCCTGTATTTTGTGGGTCCCCAAGCCATGGATGATTTGGGAGTAGAAAAGCAACTTCTGGAAATGCGGGAATCGCATGTCACGATATGTCACGCATGTCCCATCTGCCTGCTTCGAAAGAAGCTCCTGAACCACTGGCATGTGTCCCCTTTCAGCCGCCAAGGACAGCCTGACCAAGGTGGATATGAATGTTAGCAATATTTTGGCGTAGGGCCCTACCATCTGGGGCCCCAAAGTTAGCAAAGTTGGCTTATATATTCCTATAATTATATATATATATAATCAAATATACGTAATATAGAGGTTACATCTAGTAGACATATCGTTAATGGGGAAAGAACACCAACTGATAACTGGGGCACCAGCTTCTAGGAATCCAAGAAATAAATGTGTTTTGTTATATATATATAATAAAATATATAATATATATATAATATAATATATATATATATATTATATGATATATATATATATTATATGATATAAATAATAAATATAATATAATATATATATATATAATAATATATATATATATATTTATATATATAATTATTTATTTATTTATTTATTTATTATGTGGTTTCCCTTACAAACCCTATATGTCATTGGAAAATCCCATGGTTTCCATTGCTTTCCCGTAGTTTTTCCCATGGTTTCCCGTTGACAAACTTCCGCCGGGCCACGGCGTCTTCCCGGTCGACAAGGCCACTTCCTCCGTACTGGCTCTGGCCTGGGACTGGAAGAGTCGAGGCTCTGGAAATGAGTTATTAAAATATGATCCCATATGCTCCATGTATGGTATATTTACCTACATTTGGGTGATTTTTAGTGCAAATGTTGGTAAATATTCCATACATGGAGCATATGGGATACTTATACCCAATTGGGTACCCTCTGGTTATTTACACTAGGTCGGTTTCTAGCTGGAAAAATCAGCAATTAGATTATTTTTGTTAGTATTGGAATGTATGTATTACCCTCTGGTTATTTAACATAGCCATGGAAAATCACCATTTTTAATAGGTAAACCATTTATTTCTATCGGCCATCTATACCATGGCTATGTACCAAATAGCCAGAGGCTAATTTTGAGCTGGTGGGTACATTTTACCATTGATAGCTAAAGACTAAAGTAATAAAGTATCTAACCAGTCGGTTGAACCAGGTATAAACCCAGATTGGGGTCTGGGAGCTTTCCACAGAAGTCTCAGATACCAAATCCACTGAGTGACCAGAAGTTCCCTCTGTAATAGACATGACACACCCATACATGTCATCGACTTGGGCAGTGTGTAAAACCTGAAATGTCGTCCCTTTTGATCCTGGTTGCTTAAGAACAAATTTCCTCATGGATTCTTTTCCAATGCCCAATATTAGTAAAGGATAATATCACCTATTCCTTTTTTCATCAACCAACCATCATTCTGTCACTTGCATCCCCATAAATGATTGTGTTTAATAACAATACGTCAATCCTCATGAATATGGTCGGCTTGGTAACATTGATCGCCAAGCCAATGACTAATCAGTTGTCATGACTAGTTACCATATGTGTGGTAGATATCCATAGATATCCCTCTATTTTTTTTGACCATTAGATACATTAGATACTACATTGGATAGGATAGTACAACCATGTAGAGCCATGATGATCCAGCGACTGATATGTTTGATACTCAACCCCCTGTAAAACATGTAAAACAGGCGACGCCGTTCGCCATTCCAGCTGGCCTCCAGTAGAATTTTCACAATCTGCAAGTGGCCCTTAATGCAGGCCTCAGGCGGGTCCGGCTTGCCAGCCATGCAAGGCAGGATAAAGACAAATGGAGATACGACTGAAAATCAAACATTGGAATGTGTCAATTTCATAAGAATGTTTTTACATCTGGATAAATTATATAGATATTAAATTATATATACATATGAATATATATATATATATGTATATATATACATATATGAATATATATATATATATGTATATATATATATATATGTATATATATATATGAATATATGTATGTATATATATATGTATTAATTTATTTATTTACTATCATATATCATATCATCATATATCTTATCATTATATATTATTATATACTGTCTGCCGGTAGGCTGAACACTTCGGCCGTTGGGATCATCCCCGGAACAATCGGCGTCCGGACCCAGGTGAGAGCCTGGTAGCCATCCCCTCAGGTCTCAAGGATGACTGTGATCATCAAAGATAATCAAGGGGTGGTTAATATGGGAAAATGATGGGTTTAACAATGGTTTATGATGGTGAATAGTGGATTACCTGGTGGATTATATATTGTGTATATGTATATGTATATATATATATATATATCTGGTTGGTGGTTTCAACCTACCCCTCTGAAAAAATATGACTTCGTCAAGGGGAAGGATGACATCGCATATAATTATTATGGAAAATAAAATTCATGTGAAATAAACCACCAGAAGATAGCAAGGCTATGAATGATTCGATACGATTCACAATACATGTTTACAGGTTTTTGTTTCTTAAGTTGAGTTTCAACAAAAAGGCTGCAGACTCTCTGAAACGATCCTTTTCGTGGCCAACATTCGGTCCAACTCTTGGGCGAATCAAAGAGCAACAAGCGGTGGCTTTTAAGAAAACATACCCTCTGGTAAACATACAAAAAGCTATGGAAAGATCCACCATTTTTAATGGGTAAATCCACGAACTAAATGGCCATTTTCAATAGCTATGTTAGTTTACCAGAGGGTACCAACCCAATCAACACACTTATCGGAATCGTTCTAAAAATTGCCAAACAAAAATTGGGCGGTGTCGTACCAGACCAGAAACTATTTCATTCACAGACATCTTTGACTACCAAAGCGTAAACCCCAATGAAAAACGATCAGCAAATGACGGGTTTTTGTATGATCCCCATTCAGAAAAAAAGAAACACATCTCCCCCCAAAGCATAAACAACAAAAATCATGTTGGAATTAGATTAATCTTCAGGCGCATCGTAGTGTCTGACTGTGACACAATCCTCAAACTAAAAAGTTATATTTTACGAAGCTACGTATAGAAAGCAAGTATTATATATCCCATATGCTCCATGTATGGAATATTTACCAACATTTGCACTAAAAATCACCCAAATGTAGGTAAATATACCATACATGGAGCATATGGGTATTAACTTTTCAAAATAAATTTCAACACCGACGTCCAACTTATCTACCATAAACTCAACAGCGCTTGAAGTACTTAATCTACCATAGATCCTGCAATTAAGCGCATATATATATATATATATATGCACCATAAACCACCACTGTGTATAAATGTATCTACCGTAGAGCCTAGGTAAAGCACCACTGAGTATAGATGTATCTACTATAAACCCAATAGTTAAGTATACATCATTATACATATATTCATGTATATTATATATATATTCCATAAACCAGCACTAAGTCTAGATGTATCTACTATAAATCAACCATTTTTAGCATGGCTAGTCTTAGCTATCGCCGAGCCCTGGACCGTCGGTGCCGGAACAGCTGGCCTGCTGAATTTCGAGACATGGATTCCCCTGTTTTTTAAGGAAAAAACCTTGGGAAATGGTGATCTAAGCGAGGTTTAATGGGGGTTATAGCTGGGAGTTATAGCTGAGTTGACTATGATGAACTAACAATGGTAACTATAACTATAAACTAGAACTACATAACGATGTTTTACTTGCTATGGTTAACTATGGTAAACAAACTATAAGAAACTTATACTATGGTTAACAATAACTAGGCCCGCATTATAGGAGGGATATACAGCAACTATGACTAACACTCGCAATATCCCAAACTAAGTTGAGGCACATACAGTAACTTGATCCACTTTGCGGCTTATGGGGACTATACGATATAACTGTAGTTTTCATGGGTTTGTAAAGAAACACATATACCTGAGATGGGGGGATCACCTTGTACTTAAAGGATCATCGCACTTCGTAGTTCGGGTTAGTAAGCATGATAATCATAAGCTATCTGGTTGGTGGTATACCTACCCCTCGGAAAAAATATGAAAGTCAGTTGGGATGATTATTCCCAACATATAGAAAAGTCTAAAAATAGACAGACTGGCTGGTGGTTTTAACCATCTATGGGAAGTCAATGGGAAGGATGACATCGCATACGCATACATGATGGAAAAATAAAATTCATGCTCCAAACCACCAGCTCAAATGGGACAATCAGGGACATCTGGAACTTACCAGGGAAAAAAGGGGTCTGGTCTGCACGATCCGTGGGAGAGGATTTGCTGGACCTAAAAATGGGGATTTCAGAAGAAAAAAAACACCGCCACATTAATGCAGATTTATACATTTTGGTATACGTTTGCTAAGTTGATTTCTTTATGAAAAGTGGGTGTTGCCAACGTGCTTTGGAGAATCAGCCAAGCGATTGGTTTTATGGGTTCTATGTGGTAACACTATCTAAGTTATTGACATGAGGATTTTCCATGATAACCAAGAATAGCGGGATACCAACCGTTGTATTTCCATGGGATGGAAAAACGGAATAGATGAATCATGGCTCAAACATACTAGTCGCTTCTTGCAACCTCTCAACTGCTGTGGCAAACTCATAGGTTTTGACCCATCCCGGATGGCCCGGATGGCCAATTGAAGAAATGGATAGGGATATAAATTTACCTACTGTATAAATTTAAGGATGGATCCTTAAAAAACATAAGTTTACGTATATTTACGATATTTTGATTCATCCTCTTTCGTAAAATTGGGTTCAGACCCTTAAACATTATGTGCAGTCCATGAATATATCCCAGTACCTATGAATGTATCCCAGCCGTGTACATCCCCAATATCTCCCCAATAGTACCATCATATTTCCGTTATATCACCATGATGGGAAGTATATTCAATATATTCCCATCACATCCGATAAAACAGTTGGAAAAAGCTCCATAATATCCATCAAGGAATTTGTAAGTGATTAAGACAAATTATCACCGAGTTGTGTTAAATTTATATACTGTAACGTGTACTAACCCAACTATGAGGTACCCTCTGGTAATTTAACATAGCTATAAACACATGCCATTTACAGTCGATTTACAAATTAAACATGGTGATTTTCCAT